TGGTAGCTCCGATAATCTTCCTTCCCGTCAACACAACATTCTTTCCTTCCCAGATCATGGCAACAACAGGGCCAGACACAATGTAATCAACAAGTCCACTGAAGAAAGGCTTTGAAGATAAGTCCTCGTAGTGCTTCTCAGCAAAAGATCGCTCTACACTTATCAACTTCAGACCTGTACACACAACACATTCTCAGATACTAAAATCCAAAATCTATTACACAACACATAATCTTTGTCAAGCCAAGCATAACCATAACCTCAGACATGTCCACAATTCATTCTTAGGCACAGATACTATAGTCTAAAATCTATTACACAACATAGAGAATCTAGACAAACCATAACCTACTACAATTATCTGATCAATCTAATAAGTTTGGTAATCGAAATCCTTACCTTTCAAAGTGAAACCCTTCTTCTCAAACCTGGAGATGACTTCACCGATCTGAAAAAAAAGGACAAAACATATACAAATCTTTGTCAAGTCTTGATTTTTAAGCAGAAACAATCCAAAGAACTGAAAAAAACAAAACCAAAGTCACATAAAGATTCTTATGTATTAAGAGGGAAAGGGAAGCTTACGAGTCCTCTCTGGACGCCGTCAGGCTTGATCATGATGAAAGTTTGCTCCATTTTTTTGCTTACTTGTGACTCGTAGGAGGCAAAAAGAGTTATATATACTCTGCACAAATTTGTAGCCCTAATTCTGTTGAAGAACATTCTAGGGCTAGAATATTCGCTGCATCTTTAGGTGTTATTGGGCCTTCACTATTATTATTTTAAGGCCCAATTATAGGAAATATTTGTTATATGTGGGTTAGAAAGACACAAAAGGTTTGATCACACCACTAAATGATGCATTCTCTCATGTTGAAGATAGGAAAGTCGCCGTTTCATACCCAACCTAATCAGCAGTGTTCGATTCATACATGACAGTTTACTCTGTGCCAATACATATCCAACCTTTTAAAAAAAATCAAATTTCATACTCAAACTTATCAAATCGTGTAAAATCACACATCTCTTGTCTCTACTGCTGACGTAGATGCCGCCACGTCGTTGATGACGTGGTTGCCACGTCCTTCATAACGTCGTTGCCACGTCATCATCATTTTAAACAAAAATAAAAACTAATTTATTTTTTCTCATTTTTTTCTCCATCACTATCATCCGACGGAACTGTGAAAAAAATTATATATTTGATGTAAGAATTTAAAATCTTCTTTGCGAGACTTATAACTAATATTTCAACCGAAACTAATATTTAAACCGAGTTATTCTTCGTCTAAAAATCTTCAGATCGCTTTCAATAAAAAACATTAACCCTACAATAATCTTATATATTAATCTTTAAAGACATTGTTTACATTTATTGTCATTTGATAATTGTATTTTAAGAACAAAATATAATTTCTTATAAATTAATTATCATTGGCAATTAGGGTTGTTTGAATATATATATATATATATATATATATATATATATATATATATACATACATATATATAAAAAAAAAAGTTAAGATACAAAGACAATATTACCATTGATAAGAAATTGTATTTTGTTCTTAAAATACAATTATTTTAATGGTAATATATGTAATTAAGTTCTCTTTTTTTTGTTATCAACTTAAAAATGTCTTTCAATTAATATAAAAGATTATTGTACGGGTTTATGTTTTTCACTAAAAGTGATTTGAAGATTTTTAGAAGAAGAATTTTGAATTTTGGGTTTATAAACTCAATTTAAATATTACATTAGGTTGAAATATTGGTTATAATTCTCGAAAAGAAGATTTTAAATTCTTACATTAAATATATATATTTTTTCACAGTTATGTCGGATGATAGTGGGGAGAAAAAAATGAGAAAAGAAAAAAAATTAATTTTTATTTTGTTTAAAATGATGATGACGTGGCAACGACGTCATGAAGGACGTGCCATCCACGTCAGCAGTATAGACAAAAGATGTGTGATTTCACACGATTTAATAAATTTGAGTATGAAATTTGAATATTTTAAAAGGTTGGGTATGTATTGGCACATAGTAAACTGTAATGTATGAATAGAACACTGCTGTTTAGGTTGGGTATGAAATGGCCGACTTTCCGTTGAATATATATACAACACACTTTCACAACAAAATTATAGTTTATAGTTTTAAATATTTTTAATTTTATTAATATATGTATAAGGTATATAATTTTTCTTAAAACAATCGGCTATAAGAAAAAACAACCAACCAATATATAAGTTGCAAGTTTTAAGGTGTATGCAACCCTATGTTTTAAACGATTTGAGTTTTATGATTTTGATGATTTTAAGTGAATTTAGAGTAGTTGTTATTGTTTGATAGAAAATCCTCCCAAATTACACTTAAAATCATGTTATTTAGATTTATGTGTTTTCAAATAAGGAAATCCTCAAAACTAATACCTTAAATTCATTACGAATCTAATGCTTTTAAATGTTTTCAATAATACTGGAATGTAAATTATTTTTTCAAATCACTAGTTTAATAACAGTATATTTTAGAAAACGTTTTTTAAATCCATGATTGAATAACATATGATTTGTTAAGACAAACCACTTAAAAAGTTTTGTTGAATACATCCCCTGAATAATCAAACTATTTTTTTTTTTTTTTGTAATTTTTACTTATTAGTTTAGGACTACAATGTCATTAAATATATTTATCAATATATATATATATATATATATATATATATATATATATATAAATAATGTATATATCAAATATTTAAAATTATTTAATTTCTTTTGTTAAATTTTCTAAAGCTTATTTGATTTAATTCTTTTTTGACTGTTAGATTGGAGTTGGGTTGGTTCACCCAATTTGGTGATTCGAAGTGAACATTGAAGAAGAATTAAAATACTCCATATGATTTAGAGAGTTTGTTGTTAAAAATGGATATAAGGATTTTTACATTCTATCATCTTAAGATTAATTCTCTTCTTCTTTATTCTTGAATCTCATCGCTCATATAAAACTTGAGATTGTACACTTTTGTATAATGAATTTGATCACACCGATTGGAGTGAACATGTTAAACAAATTTTTTGTGTCTTTCGTTTCCTATGATTTCTAATTTTGTTAACATTTGATTAGTGAGATTTGAATGGGTTCGTACTTCTTGGATGATTTGCGACTTTATACAAAGAGATGGAGAATGTTGTTTTTTTTATTCAGAAGTCACATACAACATTTATAACCTCTCACAAACATACTTGAATGCAAGTAGGAGGAATTCAATCTAGAAACTACATGCATGATTGCACATAAATTGTTCAATGTAGCCAATTACTTCAAAAATTGAAAAAATGATCTCAAACACATTGGTCAATTGAAATTAAAAAGATTCCCATGTCTCGCAGCATCACTAATGGGTGAGTGTCTTTTTCTGTCAGTTTGTAATTGTAATTCTTGTTTCTGTTTGTGCTAAAGCTTTCTTTTTTCATGGCTTGTTAAAACCTACCTCATTTGGTATGGATATGAAGATACCTTTAGAGCTTTCAATCTGGCTGCAAGTATAGTTCGTCATACTGATATTGCACAAGAAGATGGTTCTGATGAGTTTGAATTGCATCAAAGGAAAAATATCATAGAGGTACTTTTCACTGTTATAGTGAATTCCTGAACACAGACCAGCGATCTTCTTCACTCAAGCGAGTTCTCAGACAGTTTGAAGTGACCGGCTCACTCTACGCCCGTCAATGAAATCGTAAACTTTTTTTTTCTTGATACTAGCTAGTCTTTGTGTAAGTTTCAACGTTCTAAAAGTAAGAAGTAGAGATCATACATATCTCAATATCCATCAATGCATGTACTTCGTAATCTTTGTTTTGCTTATCTTAGTTATTCTATCTTTCTCTCTTACCTAAAATGATGGCTGCAAAGTACTTGACGGATCAATTTAAAAATAGACTAGTCATAAACATAAACTTATATTTGAGATGGCTTCAAATATGAATCTTAAAACTATTTGTAGTATACATCTACACTCACCTGGGATTCAAATTCCTAAATATATTTCAATGTTGTTTTTTTTGGATTACATGTGAATTAATTTACCAAAAAAATGAACGGTTTAAATTACATTTACTTGCGCATAGAGACTTGAGAAGGAAAAGAACAGATAAATAAAGACTATAACAGAAGCAGAAGCAGAGAGGCGAGAAAACATTTTTTTACGCATAAGTAGTGAACCAAAGAGCAAACCTTTCCTCTATTCTCTGCCAAGTCGACTTGAAAACCTCAGCCACAGTTGAGGAGGTGCTGTTGTGAAAGCATGTTGTTGAAAATTCATAAGCCGTTTAAGCTTTGCTGAGCTTCTTGGTGATTCTGTGATTTCTAAAGCCAAGACGAACATTAGGTAAGCAGACTGCCTTCCAAGAAACTTAAGGGCCAGTGTGCTGAAGTAGAGAACCAGATCACAAAAACCTGTTACAGAGATCTCTATATACAAGAAGTTGAGAGTACTACAGTAATCTACTAGCAAACGATAGGGTCTTCACTGCTCAACTGTTGAATCTACAAGTGATAGAGTCAATGAGTGAGGAATACTCTGAGATCCTCTTTCAAGCAGCTATATATAGTAATGAATCATACTTCAAGCAGCTTGGTGATGTTTAGGCCCCCTACCACGTATCTTCTCTCCTAGATATACTCACACACGTTCATTTTCTTTATGAAGTTTTCTTGCTTGTGCGGATACATATTTATAATCAAGAAAAGTATGTTCTTGAGTTCTGCGGATGAGTTGTGTTTGTAAATTGTATATTTTGTGCGTACGTAAGCAGTATCCACATAAAAACATGTTGCGATTAAGGAACTAATTATATAAAAACAAAATATATTTTCTTGAGTTCTGCTCATGAGGTATATTTATTCAAGAACATTATCTAAATATAGTTTTATGTAAGAAGGTAGAACCAATATAGAAGACTAAGCTAAACATTTTAGTGATGTTCTTGGGTCAGAGTCAGGTATTACTTCACTACCACGATATTTTAAGGAATTTATTATATCATGACAAAATCCCTCAATTGGATTCAGTGAGTCAGTAATTAAAAGAAAAACTCTTAACAAAATTTGCATAACTTGAACAAAAGAAAAATGAAGAAAACTCTTACAACAACATGGTGATCAGACCCTCAAATCTCAATGTGACTTGGTATGACAGTCAAGCCTTTCATAAGATCAGATCCAACTTCATCAAGTCGCCTAATATCGTCAACGGCAATTCCTCCATACATAACTACCCTCATACTGTTTCTCTTCGGATCAACATACAAAATACGGAACCAATGATATAAAATCCTTTCTGAAACCGTAAGTAAATAAGATCTATAAGATGTGTAAATGAATTCACCAGTATGAGTAACACCCTTCAACTTCCATCTCCCTTTGATGAATTCACGATGTGAAGGAAATTGTTTAGATATCCATTGTTTGTGATTCTCAGCATCCTCCAAAATCCATAATTCAACTCCAGAAGCAATGGAACTTACCAAAGCTAATCTCCCCTCATAACATGACCAAAATGTAGCTATGCTATTTTTCTTCGGATGTTTAATCAAACTGAACTTTTCAGATCTTAGATCAAAACTCATTATGGCAAGCTCTTGTCTTAAACCATCACCAAAAGAACCTTCATAGTAGATGACTCCATCAATGCATTTTGCACAACCTGTCACTTTGTAATGACTAAGGAAGCCTTTAGTTAATATTCTCCATGATTCTTGTGCTCCCAATGTAAGAATCCCAATCTTGTTTCTCTCTTTAAGTATGCATAGTACTTTGTACTTACCGTTGATCGGATCATATCCCAAAAATCCCGTTAGGGGTCTGCCTTCGTTGCTATCAAGTTTCGGTAACGTGTAGAAGGTTTTCATGATAGGGTTTCTAATAAACATGACATTTGTAGAAGTTTCCAAGTAAATCAAGCCGTGGACGGATTCATAACGTTGAAGTTTACCATTATTGGGGATTGTAAATTGAAAATTCTCCACTCTAGGACAAGTCTTCTTCTGGTGTACTGGAGACGCAAAACAGAACAGCTTGTCGTCTTTTCTGAAGTTTAGCAGAACACAAGGCCGCGATGACAAGGACCGTGTCACGACAGAGCTGGTGAAATATGGAGTGGTGGTGGTTGAAGACCAGAGCTTAGAAACGGACCTAAATCTCACAATCGATTTTGATGGCAGTCTTGAGAATATCTCCACGATTAAATCGAGAGGAATATGCTCTCTTTGAGATCTATCATTATCATCTGAAGATTGTGTTGTTCTCTGGATTTTTCTCATCCTTGATGGCTCCATAGTTTTAACTTTTAGAACCCTAGCTTGTTCTTCCGTTTGTTACAATGCTTGGGTGTTGAACCTTGAAAGTATCCGGATCCGTTGTTTTTGGATATCCGAGTCCGTAAAATTTTCTAAAAATATTAAATAATAAAATAGTTGGGAGTTTGCGCGAGAAAAAAAAAAAAGCATAATTTGAAGGGTTTTAACTTTAACAAAGCTCTCTTCTCTTCCATTTCTCTGTTTAGTGATTTTTTGAAGTTTGATATTGACAAAATATCCCTCCTTGTTTATAAAGACAAACTTCACAAATGTCCTTGTTTTCACCAATAGCAACAACTATGGTTTCATCTTTCAGTATACTTTCAACATATAAAAAAAAGTCGTTGTTATAACAGTAGTGGGCATAGAACCAGTGGGAAAATATGTGGTCTTATTTAGCTATCATATAAACCTTATATATATGTCGGTGAAGATTAAATTTAAAACAAAACAAAAAACAGAAAAAGAAAAACTTTTTTTGTGGGTATCTTTGAAAATTTGACTTTGTATCTTTGGTAAAAATATGAGGCCTACATGTCATTGTAATGTTTAACTTTATTATAGACTCTATATTCAAAAATTTAGGCAAAGTTCCAAAAATGGTTGAATGGGACGAAACAATCCGTGTGATAAGTTCTATATGCTATAGTTTGATTAATGTTATAGCGGGACAATCAAACAAGAATAATAGCAAGACTATCATTTTCAGAATTTATTGTAAGAATTTTCTTGTTAACTACAAGATTGATATCCCCATTTTAGTGTTGACTCATTGATTGACCAAGAGACTAAATGGTGGAACATAAAACGAATTCAAGATCTAATTAAGTATGAAAATAACCATCAACAACCATAGTTTCACCATTTTAGTTGACTAGCTCGTAACTGAGACAAAGAAGTATAATACTGACTCATTTCCCTCAGCACATGTGGTGAATTTGGACTTTCTATTTTGGAGAGTTCTAAACCAAGATGGAACAAGGGAACGTAGTGGTTTCTACCCTTAGTTAGCTTGGTATAACTAGAAAACGATGGATATAACTAAATATGTAGCAGCCAGATCTCCTTAACAAAATATTTTGTGAGCGGGAGATGAACACGAAGTTTGGATGCGAGTCGTTAGCCAGGCATGTTCGTGAAGGCATGGAAGTCGTTCCAGAGCTTATCATCCCTCCTATGTTTTGAACTCCCTTGTTCTTTGTTTTCAAGTTGATAGTTCATGGAAACAAATTAAACCTAAATGCGCAGCCAGTTTGGTTTTGATTGATGGCTTAAACCATATTCATCTAATTGGTTTGAAAGGATTTGGAATATGTTTGATGTCTTTACACTCAGAATTGCTGACAGTACTTTCGGTAATGTGGTATGTTGATTAATTCCTTTTCGAAACTATGTGGAGCGGCTTTAGTAAGATGATTAAAGCTCCTCAAAGTCTTTTCCTTCTTTCGCTATAAGTTTTTTTCTTCATTGCAATAAACACAGAGCCGCTAGCTTGTCTTGCCCGTTCGACAAAACTCGAGCAACTCTGTCCTCGTTTGTAAACTCTATCCTTCCGGATTGGTTGCACCACAAAGCATTCTTATTCCATGATGGTTAGTAATCTAGTATTATAAGCAGCAACTATTTATTTTGAATGAGTTTTATAGATAACATCAACATCCCTAAACTTTTAAAAAATACTTTACTATAATCTTTCAAACAACATGAAAAGTAAAATAAAAATATCCTCAAAAGTCATTTCACTAATGTTATAAAGAATATATGTTTTCATTAATTTTTTTGAACTTTCTTCATTATTGTACAAAATTTTTATTTTACACCTACATCCATTTTATCAAATAATATACTTTTCAACCTGACATCCATCTAATTCGAGCAAAAAGATCATCTTTCGATTTTTTTCGATCAGATCATTGCCATTTAGCAGATATAAAACAAATCAGGAGCAAACCTTATTATTCTTCTTTTGGTATGCATGTGCACCTCTTCTGTTCTTCTGTTAACTCCTAAATTTTTCACACCAAGTAAAACAAACTCAAAATGTATAGTTCAATATTAAGAACTCTTTTTACTAAATACTTTTTTGACTAATCAATTTTACTATTGGATTCTTCTTGAAGGTTTTATGCGCACATACATATTAACTTAGATAATTTACCTGAATCTGCCTTTGAAGAACTTTCACGTATTCTACAGCTTCTTCTAACATGTCTGCAGTGTTGGTTTGCTGCAACAAAGACAAAAAGTAAACCGATATACACACAGCGTAGATTCAAGATCTTTATATATGCCAGAAACCGAAGTTATCATCAGTTGTTCATAATCTATAGAGATGAAACCAAATTCATACATATTTGATCGAGGTGACAACAATTCGAGTCGATATCAAGATCCTTCCCATTGGGTTTTAATAGTTTAAACCACAGTTTGTAAATTACTTAAGTTGCGGAGCTGAGAACCGTGTCTCTGAAGTTGCATCAAAACCATCAACAGTCATATTTAATTTGTCTTCTATACGGCTAACCTATTAACCTCTAACTTCTACACTTGATTTAAGCATATATAATCTTTGACCCATTTCTAGTCAATATTATTGTGTAAGACATTCGAGATCATCAGATTATATATACGCTGAAAAAGATATTACCTTGTCCATGTTAGGTACAAGCTCTTGTAGCTTCCTTATCCGATCACTAATCCGCGTCCTTCGTACCTACACAATGAAAGGTAGACATAAATCGCTGACCAGAACAGAACAATTCTCTGTTCAATGAAGCATACAGTGAATCATTGAACATCCGTGAATTGAAAGTAAATATAAAAGTTGTATCACTAAACTTCAACGAATTGAATTTTAAGATAAAACCACTTTATCATTAAACTTCACAAATTTAAAATAAAGATTGAATATTTTTTACCCTCTCGGCGATGCTTCGGGGATGAGTTGCACAACCGCGTTTAGCACGAACCCTAAAAGCAACAGAGTCCTCCATAAGGTTCTCCATGTTCATATCTGTCATGCCTGATACCCCGGCAGGAACTTGACCACTGCTTTGCTCTCCTTTCTACTTCCAGAAAAAAACCCGAAAAGAGGCAATCAGCACTAAGCCTGAAACCTTAATCAACATCACTCAATACATAACATAGGTTACATATATAATCCAAGTTGTGTATCAAGTATAGTAACACAATCCTAACGATGAGGAAGATCAATACATATTTACACATCAGCCACCAAAATCAACATGAACAAAGAAGTATATATCATCATGTGGCCTTATGTTCTTCTCAACAAGTTACCCTTATGAGCTTTCTTTAATGTTCACATTCACACATCAAAGCAACAGAGGCAACAACAAAAAGAGAAATAAAAACTGCCACATTTTTTTTTGGGTTAAAATAGAAACTGCAACTTGCTGAGTTTGGTTCAGAAAAACACAAGTTGTCAATTTTAAGACAAGACTGGTCTTTTCAATATCGAGAACATTAGTCAGCAATTTAACTACAATTTCAAACAACTTGACAAAACTAAAACAAGTACTAATTCAGTTAAGTCCTTCCTATTTTTGGTAAACTAAAAAACCCTAATTTTAAGAACTACTTTTGGTTGACTCAAATGATTAATAGAACATATATCTTTTACCATTTGAGAAGTAAACTCAGGAGAAGAGAAGAGTGCTTCCATTTCTCTAGACCGCTTACTTCCCGGAGAAACATCGATATTCCCCGATAAGTAATCGTAATTCGCCGGAATCCCAAAGCTCTGGATAAATCCATCAGAACCACTAAGAAAATCCGCCGGAGTACTATTCTGTCGGTGAAACCCACCTTGCTGATACAAACCTTGCTCAACCGGAATCGGGAACTCGAACGAACTACGACTTGTCGGTAAATCGTTCGAGTTCCCCGTAAGCAAATCGGTGAGACCAAGATTAGGTTTCAAAGACTCTTCTTCATCTTCCTCAAGTAAAGCCTCAAGCCAAGTCGCTGGAGCTGAACGTATCCGAGATAGTCCACTTCGACTCAGCCCTCCTCCTCCTCCTCCTCTGCCACCTCCTCCGTCATCACCACCGCCGCTACTACCGACGGATGTTGATTGCATCCCCCCTTTGGCTTTTCTCTGGTTTCAATAGACAAGACTACAAAAGTTTTTTTTCTCTTTCTTTACATTTTTTTTTTGTTTCTTGCTCTGTTTTATTTTTTTTTAACTAGATATTAACCCGCGGTACACCGCGGGTCTATATTTTCTCTAAATAAAAAAATGATTTTTTTAGAATGATCTATAGATATATGGTAAACCGCATGTCAATATTTTATAACTAAAAAATCAAAATTTAAGTTGTATTTGTTTTATTTAGTGTTTAAGATTGTATAATTGTATTTTGATCGCTAATTCTAGGATTTTACCCGTAATATACCATCCCGTATTAATATCGATCTAAATCCGTCCCACTATATAACCCCGTCCCGTGAAATTAAACATCATTTTTGTAATTTTTTTTATAAAGTTCAAATATTTCTAATATTTGAAACTTCATAAAAGTTTTAATATGACCCAAACTTCATAATTGTATTTTGATTGTTATATCTAGGATTTCACCCGTAGTATACCGTCTCATATTAATATCTTTTATAAATATTTATAATGTTTAAACTACTTATAAATTCTTATAAAATTCAAATATTTATAATATTTGAAACTTCATAAAAGTTATAATATTATAAATAATTAAAACGTTTAATAAAGTTAGACTTTTTTAAAAGTTTAAATAATTATAATATTTAATTTTTTAATAAATTTTAAATATTTGGATCCACATTTATACTATATACTATAGAAATTAGAGTTTATGAGTTTAATAAGTATACTTTAATAAGAATTATTACAGTAATAAAATTTACAATCAATTATATATGTCTTACAATTTGGATGTATGAAATTGTTGATCTCATTTGTAAGCATGAGTGGAATTCAAAACATTTGGGTTATAGTTTGTATTTTCGTTTTTTATTTTTTCTTTTAAGTTTTTTAAAAATCAATGCTATCAAACTGTAGTTATCTTATATATATATATTAAGATTATCATTAAACATGAAGATTTACCTAGAAAAAATAGGGTGAATAAAAAAAACTAACCATATGAAAGAATCTGACGTAAATTTAAAGCATATGCTCTTGATAATGGCAATCATCAATGGGTTGCTCATCTTGTATAGGATTATCTGCGCAAGACATCAAATGTTTATTAAATTCATGAATCAGAAAAATGAAAGTTCATATAACAAATAAAGATTGGAATGGGTAAGAAGAGGTATTTGTTTGATGAGTCTTCTAATCGAGTAAAACTGTGGTATTTATAGGGTAGGTAGGCATCTAGGTTTATTGTTAAGGTAGTTTGATAATATCTTGGAGAGAAAGTAGAA